GTGCAATGTAATTCACCAAGCCTGTAAATGGTATGTACGCAACGCACCCACACTGGCAATGGTATGTAACCATTTTTTCAAGAATTGATTAAATTCAATTAAAGAGTAGGCCGGCAACGCCGCTATCCAGGCAAAGTTTCCCTCATAGCACACTATTAGATGTAGGGTACCGGAGTCTGCTGAGGTTTGCCGAATGTACGTTTAAGAGACAAAATGGCCGAGACTCGGTTTGTGTGAGGAGCCACGGTGGCTAAGTGGGTAAGACGCTGGCTCGCTAGCCTGGAGGTCGCGTGTTCGATCCCTGCATTGGCCGAGAAAGTTCATCGGGATTTTCCGACTTGGTTTCCCCTTGTCAGTGGTGCAGGTCGGAGGGTCTGACAAGGACAGCTGTCTAGTCGTTCGGATGGCCCGGGAAAAATGTCCCTCATAGCCCACTGTATGGATGTCTGTCGTCATTAGCCCAGTCGGAGCAGAACAGTAGGACGTTAAACCCCATTTCATTTCGGTTTGTGTGTTGTAAGTTAGACCGACGTTTAAATCCTGCTTACCAACAAAAGAGAGATGATTGGGTACCGATAACATCAGATATGTCTAAAAATTAGAACATTAATTAGGCCTACAGATTTTAACAAAATAGGCGGTTTCAATATGGACGGTTTCAATATTGTCCAGAGATCAGAAACTTAAAGGTAGACATAACATAGAAATGTACTTGATATAGGATTACACGGGATTTTAAAATAAATGAAATGAAATGGGGTTTAACGTCCTACTGTTCTGCTCCTAACCTGGGCTAATGAAGACGGGCATACGCCATACAGTGTGCTATGAGGGAAATTTTGTCCGGGCAGCGGCGCTACGGCCTACTCTTATATCGAATTCCAGTTACAAAGGGATCTTTTACGTGCACACCAATGTGTACACGGGACCTCGGTTTTTCGTCCCATCCGAACGACTAGACAGCTGTCCTTGTCCGGCTCTCCATCCTGCATCACTGACAAGCACGCGAAAGCACGCCGGAAAATCTGAATGAACTTTCTCGGCCAATGCAGGGATCGAACACCTGACCTCCAGGCTAGCGAGCCAGCGTCTTACCCACTTATCCACGTGATCCCCAATTTTAAAAGAAAAACCGGGATGAGAATACCACCGTCTGCAAATGCATTGCTCTCAATAAATAGTAAGCCTAGAATAAGGCGTTGTCACTTCCAATAATTTATCTAGACCTGTTTGATATTAGAGCAAACAATTAACATCAATAGCTTGTAGAATGTTTGGCATTACGTCTATTCGGGATTATTGTCAAATTGTATTTTCGGACGATATCTGATTTTTCACGATTTAATCCACGTTGAAATTTAAAGATGCATTATTCAAGAGCCATATCTGCCTATTGCAGGTCTTTCTTTAGGCCTTAAATGTAACATAGATTATTAATTATTTACTAATTTGCCAAGACTATAATCAACTCTCGATGCCATCGGGTGCTCTAGCTTTCCAACATTTAAATATGACTGGCAGTTAATGATTAAATTTTATAATGGAAACAGAGACTTAATTTACTATCGTAACAGTGGTAGCAATGACAATCGCGACCGCTATTCTCCTAAAAGTCCTAACGTCGCTCAGATTAGGATATTCCCTTTTCTTTATGTATTTATTAACCATTATAGCGAGAACTGTCGGCTCTTTATCTAAATCTTACATAATGTATCTTTAATATTTATTGTAGCCTAGTCTATAATTGAATTTCATGGGAATGAATATTTCCTGGGCACTAGAATGTCTCCGCAGCGGCAAAGAATACTACGGGGTGTTCCCACTTAGCCGGCAGGCTTTGATGTCAAATTTTGCCGCTAATCCAGAGTTAATCCTAGAACAATGGTGTTATAAACTATAGTCCATATCTTTTTTAAGACTAAAACTGTATTGATTTTAACAAATTTAACTTTTATTAAATAACATTAAATAGCTTACACATATAAAAATATATTGATTTTAACAAATTTAACATTTATTAAATAACATAATTTACACATATAAAAATGCATTACAATTTACACATTTAACTTTTATTAAATAGCATTATATAATTTATAAATAAATGCCTTACAACATAACAATCATTTTACAGCCCAACTAAATAGGAAATATTTGTTCCATACCGATTTACACTTAAAGAGCCATTTAATAACTGTGTTTTCAAATGTTCAATTCTTGTATCAAGTTGTCGATATTTCTTAACTCGAGGCCTTTTGGTACCACCAAATAATATCTGTGAAATGGTGATTTCGACATAGGATTGTTCTTGTGTTATTAAGTTAATGAACTTGTAAATATTAGGATGGCATGCTGTCATTTTATTCAACTTAGAATGCCAAAGTTCAAAATGTCATTAATTAGTTGGTTAATAAATTTTATTAAGAGCTCATTAACGCTGAACACTAGTGAACAGTTCTTGAGTGACTACTTTTAAACAGACTATAGTTTTAAGATCAATCAAAGGATTAACAGTCTGCCGGCTAAGTGGGAACACACCAATACTACGCCTCAAAACTTTATTTCACGAACACGATAACTTTGATTCTGTATACTTGGATGAGAATAGTGATAATTGACGTACTAACCAGATAGAACCTGAATTTGAATTGTCAGTGCTTTGAAACACGAGAACTGTGATTGAAATTTAGTGTATAGTTTCATTACATCAATAGCTTGACTGGGTGCCATCTAGTTTTTTGGCTGTTTTGTTTTGAGCATGATGCATTGATGTAATTCTTAATTTTTATGTAAATGTATTGACTTTTGATATAACCGGGTCTTACATTTTTCATGTCTTTACACTTTGCATAGATGCTACCGACACCCACCTCCAATTTTGAGACTGCTTCGTTAACGTTTTTGCAATACATGTAATTATGAACTGGTTTTAAATGTTATTGTTTACGGGATTTCATTATATGATTTTGAAACTTTTACATGTGAAAGATGTGCATGATTTATTTTGTAAAATATTGTATACAAAAAACCTACATTATAAATGTATCTTGTCATTGGAATGTTACGTGCTTTTTGGAAATATTTCAGCCCAATATTTCCTCATAAACTAACATGACTCAAGTTTAGTGTTGTCGAGAAGAGAAAAGCCATACCTGTCCTACCCCCAACAGCATCAATGGCCGTCAGGTTTTCGAAACGTCGATAAACTCTACAGGGCAATAGTATTTTTAAGCTCTCGAGTTTTTCGAAATATAATGGACTTTTACCCCTCTCTACGCTATGCGGTTTATTTGTATACGCCCACATTTCAGTGTGGGAGTATTATGTTATCACCCTGTCCATCGGTCCATCAACAATTGGCTTGTGAATGCGATAGAGGCTATAGTTTTTGGCGGATTCTTTTCAAATTTGGTGTAAAGCATCATGACCAACCCTATCGATATTCAAAACGTTCTGTGACCTTTCGTAATAGAGTTATGCCCCCGTTTCCGAAAACCTTGTGAGCGCGATAGAGGCTATAGATTTAACAGATTATTTTCAAATTTAGTGGAAAGCACTGAGGTCATGAGAGAATGAACCTATTTTAACAGTGTTTCCCGACTGTTCGTTCCGGAATTACCCCCCCCCCCTCGCATCCCGCCTTTGCCGAAAACCTTGCGAAAGCGATAAAGGTTACAGTTTTTAACAGATTATTTTTAAAAATTTGATTTGAGTCACGAGGGGACAAAGCCTATCGATATGCAGCACTGGAATCAGAAAGAAATGAACCCTGTTCATTTTCAGCAACCTGGGACTTTCTGTTCCAGAGATATATTATGTGTCCGGAAAAGCTTGTCAACACAATAGAGATTAAATTTCTTCGGGAATCCTAAGTCTTTAACAAATTTGCTCAACATCCAAGCCAAGCTGCTGTGTGGGTGTATGTCTATGCTTTGTGTGGCTTTGAATGAATATTGAAGAGACTGTAGATTTAAATCTATAATTGATATGCAGTCTAAGTAATAATCCTTGTAACTAATAAAATTGTTGTATAATTAAAAACAATTTTGCAATTTAAAGTACGTCTGATTACTTTTACTTAAATTCGATGTTTTTCCCTTTGCATCACCAATTGCAAATGATCGAAATTGAAGCAGATAAAAGCTTGGATAGCGGAATAAAGTTATCAGACCATGAAAGCAAATAATATACGAAGAATAGAGAATAACGAGCAAATAACAATCAATAATAGGAATAAAGGGAGGGGAGACACGCTAATCTCTCTAGCAATATAAAGACTAATATTGTATATGAACGTGTAAGTAATGAGTGTATTAGTCGCAGTCAAATGCCTATACTGGATCATATTGCACCCTATTATAGACGTATATACGTTATAAGCCCTTAATTCCAAGCATCGACTTTTCCCTAATAGGTCTATTTATTTCCATTGACAATTAAGCGTAATTCACGAACAAGGTTTGTCCGTTATAAGTAATCGTTTATTCTGATGGTCGACTGCCAAATCATTCATGAGATTACTGGGAGCAGTCCGGGTGATTCCAGTTTAGTCGTCTTTCAGTGGACGGTCATTCCTTAGTTACCAAACCTTATCAGTCGATAGAAACAACTGCTTTGTCGAGCATAGAATAATATATCCTGTTAGGAAACAACCTTGAGTTGGGTCGGCCTAACGAATTTGTCCTTAATAATAAGTTGAGAAAGGCACTATAGGTTAACATGGCATTCTGTCTGAGAGTATAGCAGGCTCACGTAGAGTAGCTTACTAGAACTTGTCACTTAGCCACTGAGCGAGTGACATAGATATGTTTTCTGTGAGTGTTCAATTTGGTTTAAAACAGCTAGCAAAGAAATTCCATATCGATTGAACATCTTGATGACGGAGCTTCTTTAACCATCTTCACACCTTAATGACCTTTTTGATGAATGTCAAGTATAGGGAGATGAGCAGCCGATTATAATACACACGCCATGATTGATCGGCGGTATTGCTATATTCATTAGCAATTGTTTCTTGTGACATATCGTTAGTGAGTGAAAAAAGCTATCACACATGAATTGGATTTTATGTCCTACAACATGAATCGAGAAATGGGATCATTACCTGAACCAAAGGTGAGTTGATTCTTACATGAACTATCATCTTTCCTTTGGATTTAAGAATTTCTAGGTTTACTTATTTTTATTTTTTTCCTGAACTACATTTTCAGTTTTCAATTTATTCTTTAATAAAGGTGGTTAGGAAATTATATAGTGCCGTTTGAATACTTGCTCGCCGGTCAAAACTTCTGACCCTTAGACGTATCTTAAGCTTTTAAATGAATTTGGTAACTTTTAATATATTTTTTTAAAAATGAAGACCACAATTAGCTTGGATAGCGCATAAAATAAAAAAAAATATTTAATAAGATGTGACCCAAACCTTGGACATTTAATAATTTGAAACGACGGATGTGTCTGTTGGGATAGCCCCCCCCCCCAATCTATTTCGTTTTTTAATTTGCAAATTTCATTCTTTTCAAGGTACAATTTTAATTTGCAAATTTCAGTCTTTTCGGGGTACAATTTTATATTGTAAACTATAAAAAGGTCGATAAATTGAACATAATGGTTTTGACATCATTTATTTCGATTAATCGATTTATTTAATTAAACTAGAAGCGTTTTTCGTGTAACGGAAAATTATTCGGTTTTTGAGAATTTCTAACATAATGGCAAAATTTATTAATCAAGAGATTATTCCCAAATGACAAACAACAAAGTATTGGATAATAAAATATTTTATTGGGTATAGATGTAAGTTAATCCAAATCAACTAAACGAGCTTTGTATACATAGAGGTAATCAAATACATATTTTTCTATAAAAAATAATAACGATGATATATCGACATTAATAGTTAGTAAAATGTAAGGGTGATATTTAAAACTGAGCTACATCCGTAAGCTGCGATTTAACATTTATGACATGTATGGCATTAGATATCATGTATAAATGATATTAACTTAATTAACTAACCACGAGGTAAATGAATTGATGAACTTTCTCGGCCAACACCAGGATAGAACCCGCGACCTCCAGGCTAGCGAGCCAGCGTCTTACTCACTTAGCCACCGGGGCTTCAACCATTAGGTATAGATTGGTTGAGAACATTCCTAGAGATTTTCTAACCTTGTTTTCCCCTTTTTCGGTTGCGTCTACTCGTTTAGATTGACATTACATTAAAGAACTCTGCATGGGCAGTTGGAAATAGAAATACGAGTAGACAATGGTGCCATAGACGTACGGGAAAATTTTTGACTGGGGGGGGGGGGGCGTTGGTGGTTGGTGCCCAAAAAATGTAGTTAGGTTCTTAGTATGTTACATAATAATAATAAATTCACTGTTAAATGGGACACATTCAAGAACGCAATATTTTTTTATACAACTTTTACAAAGTACAATATTGTGTGCCAAAATTTTCCCTGCATTTGGTGCCCAAAATGGGGGGGGGGGGCGACCGCCCCCCAGCCCCCCCCCCCCAGCTCTTACGCCTATGAATGGTGCCGATGTTAGGCAAAATTCCACAGGTTGGTGCAGAAAAGTAAGAGGTTAAACCCCCGATTTCCTTTCCGATTCATTTTTTATGAATAGTTATAAAATTGTTTTATCAGTTGAATGAATACGCTAAAATATTTAGAAATTGTATTATCTTGTATGTGAAAGTTCGGGGAAAATTATCATTTTGTTGAAGCTGGTTCTACAACTGGACTATCTTAAATAATTCAATTTATGGATATAATAGAAAATATTTGAAATCGAAGTACATCTACCTTTAATAGGAACGAGTTCTAGTTACTAAGCAGATCTGCACATTTTGATTTATGACTTGTAGGCCAATAACCTGGCTAACAAAAAACGAAAACCCGGAACAAAATGATTACATCTACATTATTATTAAATGATAAATATTGTCATAATCAAAACTGAACCAAGTTCGTGGATAAGGATGCTAAAGTTCTTGTGATGTAATCTAATAGTTTGATCTCATTATTCATGTATAAGTTAAGATTGGTATACATGTACATTATAGATACGGTACGGCACTCTAACATACTTCGTGTTTTATTTTGAGCTTATATCAAACAATTCATTTATTTATAAATAAACCAGATATAAATATATCTGATATCAGAGATAAACAAATAACGACCTATACACAGACAAACTGTGCATGTTGATCGCCCTGTTTCAATTAGTATTGTTATAATAGAGGAAAATAGTTTCGAAATAAAACAAGAAAAATCCATCATAAAATATCTTTCATCGGATTATATACTCATACCCCAGCATTTTTCATAGAAACCACCAGACAAAAGGTCCTATTAAAACCTACAGAAAATATAGTGTTATAATCGTCCAAATTCATTAAAATTTAAAGGTAGACCTACTGTAAACGGAATGCAACGTTGTGCTCTAGGTGAAGTGCTAAATATTATACGAAAACGAAAGGAGACGCCATTGCCAGGGTAAAAGTAATATGAACACCGTTATTTTATAATTACGACGAGAAGTTTCCATAAATTACTGGGCCCTTATTCACGAAAACTTAAACTAAGATACAATCGAAATTTTAAGAAATACTGCAATTCGATTGGCTGACCAGTAAAATCAATTTGCATATATCCAATGAAGTTGCAGTATTTCTTAAAATTTCAGTTTTATCTTAGCTTAAGTTTTCGTGAATAAGGGCCCAGATCATTAGAACGAGTAAAATTATAAAGAATGTGTAAATAAACTTAATGGAGCCTTGAGGATATAACATGATTATAATATAATGTTTATGTAAGAGAATAATGTTATTTGTATTACGTGATAGTCTGGTGCTTAAATAGTGTTGGTGTTTTATCTTTCAACGTTAGCTTGTTGGGATTATTCTAAGAACTACAATTACGACAAGAAGTTTCCATAAATTACAGATCATCAGAACGAGTATAAATATATAAAGAATGTGTAAATAAACTTAATATAAAGGCTTAGAAGCCTGGGCGATATAACATGATTAAAATAATGTTTATGTTAAGAGAATAATGTTATTTGCATTACGCCATAGTCTGATAACGCTTAAATTTGGTGTTTTATCTTCTAACCGTAGCTTGCTGGGATTATTCTAAGAACTACAAATACGACAAGAAGTTCCCATAAATTACAGATCATCAGAACGAGTAAAATTATAAAGAATGTGTAAATAAACTTAATATAAAGGATTAGAAGCCTGGGCGATATAACATGATTAAAATATTTTTTATGTTAAGAGAATAATGTTATTTGCATTATGTCATAGTCTGATAACGCTTAAATTTGGTGTTTTATCTTCCAATCGTAGCTTGCTGGGATTATTCTAAGAACTACAAGGAAGAAGCCTTTTTGTAATTATTCTAATGCGGCTATTAATCCTGAAACCAAAATCATATGTAATTAAGTCACTTAAAACGCCTGTAACTTTCGGTTAACAATTTTATCACGGACAGGCGACCCGCTTTTCTTAATATCCATAAACCCAATTACTTTTAATATTCAGTTTCCGTAAACATGAAAATAAATTCAGTATAGACACGCTGTATGCTAATAATTTGGAGGTTTTGATTATTAAAGAGTGAGAATTAACATTAGTGAATTCAATATAGGAAGGAAGGGATACTGACATTGCAATATTAAATATTGACAATCACGACTCCAATCACGACCGTCCTGTGAGTCGTGGCTCACATGTCGTGCGAATCGCCATACGACTGTTAGGTGACCGGAGAGTTCCACTACCAACCATTACAACGTAACACCACTCATGTTATAAGTATAGCACGGCTTTCATGAGTTAACAGGTTTAACCAGAGGCCGTAGGCCGAGGCGTTAAACCTGTTAACGAATGAAGCGTGCTATAAATGACTTAACATTGACACCTGCTCAAGATGCTTGTTGTAATTGCACAGAAAACCCACCCCACTTCTCCAAATAATTCCTACTAAAACTAGTGTAAACCAGCAAAAATGTGCAATAACATTGTCATTGAACATGTGTAGTTATTGCACGGTTAGGCTCCACCCAATCTACTAGAGGGAAAACAATCTGCTAATTCAACGAAAAGAACCAAGGAAGATTTCCTGTCCATGTTACAAGAATAATTATAGCACGGAAATAACACGACTGTTGAAGACCTACCTTACACCAATTACGGCCAGATTGGTCGCATTCAGGATTTTGAACATAATCGAATTCGATGTGGGACTGTATAACCAAGACCATCCAAGGGTACCCGTGACTTGTGACGGGACTTTCCAGTCTTAGTCGACCGTAAACTGTTGTAAGTTGCGTTATCCTTCAGTATGGCTTGCGTGTTACGTGAGTAAATAAATATAATTGAAGTATAAATTATTTATGACAGTTTATATTAAAGTTTGATATAGTTTTTTTGTGGACGTATTGTTGTTTATGATCTTATATGGACGTTTCTCTCACTGAAATGGTCCATTTTAGAATCATACGGTTTTATTATTCGGTCTGGTTCTGTTATTTTGATTCTAGCCCATTGTCCCTTTAATACATATTTGCGCCATTTGCTTAATCTGTTTAGTCAAATGTGGCGTGTATTTTTATCTCAGTATAATCGCTTTACATTTGGATAATCCATTCGCGAATGTTAATCTGTAAAATAACATGTATTATCTAATATGGAATTTTGTGGCATACATGTTTTACGTGGGAGTAGTAAGACTGACGTAATTCTGAAAAGTAATGACAAGACGGGCACCTGTGACCCCTGTTCTGGTCTATCTGATGTTTATACTTTTTTGACCAGGAACTGGGCCCCAAGCCCCACCGTATCTTTTTGTTCTTGTTCTTCTTGGGTGCGAAGAAAACAAATACATGGAGTTAGATATAAGACAGACCCTAATATTATTGTAAGACATTTATTGACAAATTCTATATTATCATGGGGAATTGGTTGGTCAGCGATGTTTTTATCAAGGAGTTAGATATAAACCAGACCCTATTATTATTGTAGGACATCTATTACCTGCGAAATGGTTTTGTCAGCTACCATGCATATTAGAAATAAGAATTCAAATAGATTCAGA